CATCTGGGTGAGAACACAGAGTGTAGGGCTGGTGGCAACACAGAGCCCATGCCCAGGGTAGTGGCGGACCTTGTGTGGGTGTGAGGGAGGGTGACAGGGTGTGGGGACTCCCCCCACTCCATGGTGCACAGCCCTTGCAGACAGTGGGAGCAGTAGCAGAAGGCACAGGTACTTGGGACACTGGTGCCTGGTGGCATGCAGTGCTGGCCAGAGCCACACATCACCGTGAGGAACACAGCCCCTGCCAGGCTGTCTCTATCACCAGCGCCCCCCACCATGTACACTCAGCCCCTGCACTTGTGCAGCATGGGAGGAAAGCCCCATGTGCTGGAACTGGCTGCCTTCCCCGCCTCCTGCTGTATAGGTCCTGCAGCTGGGGGTGATGAAGATGGCTCGCTCCAGTGCGTGGGGCTTCCCTCCAATGCTACACAAGTGTGAAGGCTGCGTGTGCGCAGTGGGAAGTGCCAGTGATTAGAGGTGGCCCACCAGGGGCTGTGCTCTTTGCTGTAGCGTGCATTGCTGGCTGGAGCTGCGTGCCACTGGGCACGAGTGCCTCCACCTGGTGATGTGCCATGGAGGCAGTGGGGAGTCCACACCCCTGCCACATGCCCTACCATCCACATACAGCCCCCCACATATGCACATACCCCCAAACAATATACAAGACAAAAATAAATTCTTAAAGTTATTATGCAATCTCTTCTATATACAGTATGAAAATACAAATCATGACAGAAATATTTTTTGTAATAAAATTAAAGTATGTTCTAGTAGGTGTTTGACTTTTTAGTGTATGATTTTGGCTCTTAGATTGTTCTAGTTCTAAGATGGCACCCCCTGCCCTCCCAAAAGGAGAGTTTGGGGGGGGCGCAAGGGGAGGGACTTTTAGTGGCAAAGGTCAGGGGTTAGGGGGTGGGATTTCTGGTCCCAAGATGGTGGCCAAGGGGCAGGGCCCCTATCAAAGGGTGGGGCTACCCATGCGGCCCTTGAAAGCTCAGCAACCCTCATTAAGCGGCCCTCCACCTGAAATAATTGCCCACCCCTGGTTTAGGTGATTGTTTATGTTCTGCCTTGTCATCTCCAAGTGACTGACGTAACATATAGCCCAAACTTTTAATGCAGTGTTCTCCGGGGGCTTGTAGGAAAGGAATTGGTTGATGTTAATCTAATCCCTACTGTTCGGGTGTCCTCGTCACCTAAATACTTGCGTAGCTGGCTTTTCTGTTGGCAGTCTCTGGGAAGAGCAAGGATTTACTGGGGCATGGGGTATGAACAACTTTATCCAAAAGATGGTACATGTAGGTCAGAACTGAAGCACGTGTAGAGGTGTGGCATCATTTGCTTATGTGTTATCTGTTCATCGATTAAAAAGAAATGTCTAGGCAAGGCTGCCTATGGGGCATCTTGCAGGAATGCTAACCTGTTTACAGTTAAACAAGCCTGCGAAGGATGAGTAATTACGCACCCAGCCTCCCAAATCCATTATTTCTTTTTGATAGAACTGTGATGTGAAAGTCACCTTGATGTTGTATTGTTGGACACTTTAGAAATATTTATAGGAAGGGATCTCTGGGTTCAGACTGTCTATTTTATTTATGTCTCTTAAATTTGCCAGACATGCAGAATCTTCTCATCCTTTGCAAGATGCCCCTCAGGAGAGCCGGTCTGTCAGCAACGAAGACCGGGAGATGTCCCAGCACGTATGTGTTACAACTACAACTGGTAGATGTGGCTATTTCTGTGCAGTACACGTTCATTACTTGAAAATATTCATGCATAACAAGGCTAAAGTGAAATGTTGCTAATATTTTCTTTGTTGAAATATAGCATATTACATTTGTACCGTAACAACCAACTTATTGGCGATTTTTTTTTTTTCCTTCTCCTCACACTAATTGCAACATGTAGTGTCTCTAACCTTAATGGTTGGAGAGCACTGGAAGCCAGGTATGCTAGGGTCTTTCTGACTCAGCCATGAGTCTTGGGATGACTGGATGTCACAGACAGTTAATCCCTCTGTATCTTGGTTTCTGTGGTCCAAGAATTTTACCTTTACTCGCTTGCACTTGGGGATGAATCTGTTGTAATCCCTAGCAAGCACATGGGTTATTGTAAATGGGGAAATATTGTTTATAAGCAGTACTGAGATCATGGGGAAAAAAGGTGAAAAATGTGTTTGAGGTGAGAAATATTGACGATTATTTGCTAAGAGGGGAAAAAGTGGTGCTTATGTGGTGCCATTTTTCTGCCTAACATGCACATTACATGAGGCTTTCCAGAGTTGCATCACTGAATTTCTTGGCTTTAAATTTTAACGAGTCCCTATCAACTTCTACTACTGTTAGGCCCTTCCAAGTGGTGAGGATGACGAGGAAGACAGCGATAGTGACAGTGATGATGATGACGTGAAAGTTACCATTGGCAACATTAAAACAGGAGCACCATCCTACATGTATGTTTTCCGAGTCAAAGGATCTGCCTCTTTATTTTAACACTTAACTATATCTATAGCACTTTGGGGGAAGCTGTACAGAAGGGAGGGAAGAGAGCATTTGACCTTACCAGCAGAGTACAATGGCTAGAACACCAGCTTGGAAGTTGGGTTGGTTTCCGTTGGCTCAAGTTGGCTTCTTTTCATGTCTCGCTCAAGCTTACTGGGAGGCCTGTCTGTAAAGTGAGGATAATTCCCACGTCTGTTGTTATGAATCTGAATGGACTCATACTGGGGACATGCTTGACTGAGTGAATTTCAGGTTGGGATGTTGTGTAAGTTCTTAATACCAGTTTAGTGTTCAAGGTTTTTCTGGAATCAAATGAAACAGTAGGTAAATTGAATGGAAGCCGTGAAGTCGCTACAATTTTCACTTGTCCGATTCTTCACAGTATGGAAACAACGAGGCCCAATTTGCAAATCAACCACTTACTGTCACTAAGCTAGTAAAGCCTGACTAGCACTCAGCAGCTAGGCTGTTTTGGAGGTAGCATCTCTAGTTGCTGTTGGCAACCATCATCTTAAAGAATTGTGCCTGTTCTTTGCAGCATATTCTAATCCTTCGTTTAAAGGATAACTCCATTCTCCACTAGCAGGGAAGGTTGTGGTTGATGGATCATTTTAAATGGTAGTATACTACCCTTCAATTCCCATTTAATTCACTTTTGTAGACCTTCTGTATGTAGTTTGCTGTTTCACTGTAAATGAAATCCCTCCCTCCTTTCCTTCCTCACATTCAGTGGCATACATGCTGTCACTGTTTTCTCCTATGGCTCAGGTACATTCTGATTATCATAAATTTGTTTTCAAGACAGGGTGGTACCTTCCAACCTGTGAGAGTCCTCATCTGATTCCAGCCAATGCTATCATCCTGCTGCTGGACTTCCATTCCAGTGAGCTGTACAGTGCTTTGTAGTCTTACCTGTACAGAACAGTTGTGTTTTAAAGTCACTCAAGTTAAATAATACAGTGCAGAGAAGCCTAAATAGACTGAATTGCTGGCTGAGTTAAGAACTTTTGTCTTTTTAATCTCCTGCAGTATATTGAGGCTAGAATGTATTTGGGTTTTAATTTTTGACTCGGGACATTCTGTGGAAATGTCAACACATATGTATTCTGATTCTTTTCTCTGTAGGGGGACTCCAATGAATCTAAACCTAAAAACGGGTAGAGGCTATGGAGCATCTGCTTCAGGTATCCTTATTTTTTACCCTCTGTATCTTGACCTATTTTCTTCGTCTTGACCAGGCTTTTCATTGAGGTCACTGATGCAAATAGATGAATAAGCTGCAAATGTTTTTATATTTTCCCTTATTTATGGGGAGCTTGCATAAAATTTGAGCATCTTTAAAGCAAGAGTCACCTGCATCTTTCATAGAGATTGGTAATTGTCTGGGAGGGGTTGATGCCTAGAAATGTAATGAAGGAATGATCAGCTGGTCCCAAATCATCTGGAAATACCAGACAACCAGGTTATTGCTACTTTAGATTGAAAACGGGGGTGGTGGGGAAATGACATTTATTTGTGACGGTTTCCATTGTTAAGTACAGGATGTCACTTGAGTACATCCTTGGACCCAGGTTCCAGTTTCCTGACCCACACTCACTGGTACTTGCCTCCAGGAGTAGACATGCTGAGGACACTATGGCAACTTGCACCCTAAAGTACTAACCACTGGGCATGAAGGTAACAGAATCTGGTCTTGAAAGTGAGCTAAACAGATTCCAATATGGCGCTCAGTTTATTTTGCATTTGTGTGATGAGAGGCCAAATACCTCTGGAATACTCTCTCCTCCTATTTGGGGGGACTGTCCCTTCTCCAGTCTCCGTTTTCCCCCTTTCCATTACTCTGTTCTCATGATCTTTTCTATAGCTGAGAACTGGATGTAGTTGCCTCTAAAGCAGGAGTGGGCAAAATGTGGCCCACGGGCTGGATGCAGTCCACCATACCATTCTATTTAGCCCACGGGGCCCCTAAAAATTTAGAAAATTTTATATTCGTCTGCTCCTGGCTGACTGTCAAAGGTGACCAGGAGCCAGGGACAGTAGGACCCAGGGGAACTGGCAGGATTTGGTAGCAAGGCCAGCATGAACCTGCCCCTCCCCTCCTTCCTCCTAACCATAAGCCTCTGCCTGCCCCAGCTTTCACTGCTTCCTTGTGCACCAGCCAGCAGCTCTAGCACCACATGGTCCCTGGCTGCATCACCAGACTGCAGGAGAAGAGGGCCCATGCTGGTACCCCAGGGCCAGAAGCGGGCGTGGGGGGTGCACGCGTGCACATCCCTGCAATGAGTGAGGGGGAGAGAGAGAGGCAGAAAGAGCAATGAGGGAGGGAGAGTGTGTGCATGCGTGTGTGTTCGTAGGGCAAGTCCCATACATACGCACCCCTGCCCACACAGTGCCATGCATGCAGGCCTGCAGACCCACACCCCTTCACACAGTCCAGCCACCTTTCCCTCCCCCCACTCCACATATCCAGATACACCACCCACATGCTCTCATACCCACATACCAACAGCCCCCCACAATATACAAGAGTAGGACTTCATTTTAAGGTATTGTGCAATCACCTCTGTACACTACACAAACGGATGTAAATCAGGACAAAAATATTTTTTGAAATCAAATTAATGTGTGTTGTAGATCCGGGGTCAGTAACCCCTGGCACACGTACCATTAGTGGCATGTGGAGACATTTTTCCTGGCATGGTGGGAGGCATGCAAAGAAAGTGCGTGCGTGTGCGTGTGTAGCCAGCCACAAGTCCCAGTGCTGCGGCAGGCACCAGGCGGAGCTAGGAGAACACAGGCAGGGCGGCTGTCTGTGTTCCACTGCCCCTGTCCCTTGCTCCCAGGCTGCACCCTCCAGCCTGGCTGGCCTCTGGAAGGAGCTGCGTGTGGACAGGGTTGGGGCTGGGGCTGGAGGAGGTGCTGTGCAGGGTTGCTGCCCTGGAGGGTTCCAGCAGGTGGTAGAGCCCTGGGCCCAGGCAGGCAGACACCCCCTCCCACCCAGATGGGGCAGCTCTGGTGTGCCAAGTGCTA